TAAAATAAGATATCCCACCTACCTGTTCAACAGACCACATCGGTCTCACAAGTACTTCTTCCAACGATCGGTCTTATGTTAAAACTCGAAGTTCGGTTGAAGACAAGCTACCCTAAGCCTATGATTAAAAGAAGCCTTTCAATGTTTATTAACAAACAGTTGATCATATTTTTCGGGAAACCACACAAGCACTTCAAGTCTCTCTTGACTTTGAAGGAAGTGATTCTTGCCCGAAATCCTCTGCTTTCTGGCTAATAATAAGACATTACTCACATCCCATACACATTTGATTTATTTCTTTATCTTTGTCACAATTATGCGCGAAAATTTTATTTTCCAACATTCTAGGTACTGTTTGGTATGAGTTTTGATTATCCATTATAACCGAAAAAGGGGATATTTGGAATTTCAAACGCCAATTAAAGATAAGATTTAGGCGCGTGAATTTGATCCGTTTCTAAACCCATGCGTGCGGACGTATTCCTGGGAGTAACCACACTGTCACATCATGCTTTTTCAGGCGACATTTTAGCAACCACATCATCACGATTTTCTCTCTCTAGGAAATGGTATATAAAGGGTGGAACGTTTTATTTGTCATTTACCAGTCTCTATTCTCTCAACGTAAACAACAAGTAAATATTGTTCATCTTCTTCTTCACTCATCAATGGCGACTTCTTCATCAGCACATGATCAGACGGCATCATCTTCTTTGCTCACCATAAAACCCAACCAAAACATGATCATTGAACTTAGTCCGTTCTTATATGATTCATATATGTTAAGGTTGTGGAATGCTTAAAATATTCCCCCCTGGTTTTAGCCCTAACCCAAGTTAAATCCGTTCCAATGTCGCTATTATCATAGGTTTATTCCTCAGCGACTTATGACAAGAACAAGGATCGCATCTACTTCACCATCCACAACAAGAAATCTTCGATTTCAAAAGTGAAGTTTTGTTCAATTTTGGGCCTTGCAGTCGATTCCTCAATCATCTCACTAGATTTCATCACGACATCACAGTTGTTCTCCATGATGTACGAAATGGGGTACACCGATGTGCTCACGACGATTACAAAAGTGAAGAAATCCTGCTTACCATCTCAATTGAATGGTTTGCTCACCCTATTGATTAAGGGTTTAGCCGAACGCAGTGGTGGTTCCGATACTACCAGCAAAGGTTTTCTTACTCTTCTTTACGGCCTCTACAATGGGATCAATCTTGATTATGGCTCCATAATCTGGTCTCAAGTGGTGCAGAGTCTAAACACTACTACACGCCATTCAGAAATTTCTTGTGGGCATTTTTGGACCTTGATTAATAGGAAGGCTATTGATTCGTTGGAGATTCCAATCATGAAGGATGATCTCCTTGCTACTATTGCTACATTCCATACGGAGAAGATTATTCTTTATGATCCACGTAAGTTTCTTCATTATGGAATGATTCCTGAAACGATGTGCAGGTGTGTTTCGGAGCAAAGCAACATGTTGGCGGATTATAGGAAACTACCTCCTATTGGACCGAGGGTTCTATCTCCTAAGCAGCAAGCTGCATCGGATGCATTGGAGAAGCCTGCCAATAGAGGAAAGAGAGTTATGAAGAAAGAGGATCCTGAGGAACCCAAGGCCAAGTCCTCTAAACGTAAATCTGATGAAGGAGACTCTTCTAAACTGAAAAAGAAAAAGATAAAGAATATGGCTCGTCGACCAAGGGAGAACACTCCTCCAAGTACAGAACCTGTTGCTGAGCAAACTGAGGAAGAGGAGGTTCACCATGTCTCGCCCCAAGAGCCCACTCCTCCACGTTCTCCTACTCCACCAGAATCTCCAAAACAAACCAAAGTTCCAACTCCAACACCATCACTGAAACAGACAGTTCAACTTTCTGCTCCTACTGTCACTCCACCTGTTATCACTCAAACAACAACTCTGCTAACTTCATCACCAATTGCTTCAGTTCCTATCTCCACTATACCATTATCTACTCCACTCGTAACCGAATCTACCACAACTACCATTCCCAAACCCACAGTAGAAGTCAATGTATCTGATACAGTGGCTACTACTGTGACTGAACCTCCAGTTATCAACTTACCACCTTCACCAACCCAATCCTCTGATTCTGCTGCCACTCTTGGGGGAGATGATGAGGATTTTGACTCCATTTACTACAGCCCTTATTGAATTCCAACAGAAGATACAGCTGATGCTCCTGTTAGAAGTCAGCAGATACAAGACATTCATGAAAAGTTGGATAAATTGCTTGCCGATAGTAAAGCCTATGGTGGTGTGGTTATCAAAGCATTATTGGAGATGGCCCTTCAACAGTACACTGATGCAATTGATAAATCTACAGAGGCTGTGAATGAGTCTGCCTCTACATGTAAGAAGGCCACCAAGGAAGTTTATGAGGTTGTTCATACAACTCAGATTTTTCTTGATTCTTTGAAGTCTCATGCTGACACCAATGCAGCAAAATACCAAGCCTCTGTGGATTCCTTCTCTAAGTCTCTTCATGCAGAAACTGATAAATTTGAAGCTGTTCGCACTGAGTTCAAAATAGAAACCACTTCCTTTTTAAAATCTGTGGATTCTCGTTTTGATGCTCTTGCTGCTAACTTGGCAATTGAGAGTGCTTTGAAGGAGGATCTGGTCAAACAACAAGCTACCATCGATGTACAAAAGGTGCAGCTAGCCCAGGAAAAGAAGGAAATTTCTTTGTTAAAAACTCAAAGGGCCGTGTACAAAAGTTGTGTAGGAAATGTCAAGGATATGCTGACTAATCTGCTGGAAGCTCATGATCCAATCCTAACCTTGACCATTCGCAAACATCTTCCATCCAAACTCCTCCCTGGTTTTGCAATTCTTAGCGAGATGAAGGGTGTTTCGGAGGGATTCACACCTCCAAAACAAGGGGGATAAGGTAGTGCACAATAGGTCAAGACAGAACTGAAGGTTAATTTAGCTTCGGTTTCTAAGATGAAGCTAAAACAGAAAGAGATTCGTGTTGAAACCGATAGTGATACAGAAGAAGAGACAATTGTTGATGCTCTCAAGAGAAAGAAGAGAGACAGAGAGCTAGATGAAACAATGCAAGTGGCCAGAGAGGCGGGAGAAATGGAGAAGAAGAATAAGGAAGATGAAGATGCCTTGCAATGCAAGAAGGCTCTTTTTCCGGTGTGGAATAGAGATACACTTATCAATCAAGCGATTGAGTTTCCTTTTGTCTATTGGTTGGAACTAGTTGCTTCGTTTGATTGTGACAACTCCAAAGACTCGCAATTTGACATGCCTATCACCAGAAAAGCATTTACATTCCACTACTTTGAGGCAACTGCTAAGGTTCCATACCCACATCCTAAGGTTGATAGGGAGCTAATTGATTTTTATTTGAAGAATGGTCAACTGCAGTACTTGACATGGAGTGCACAGAAGATTACTAAAGTCAAGGTACCGAAACCTTTATCTGCAGGGAGATTCGTCAATGTCAATTTCAAGATCAACCGTGGTTCAGCAAACACTGAGTCTTTTATCTCTCTGGCAGATCTTCCCAACCTTAATCCACATGACTGGATTCTGCTATACAACATTTTGCTCTCTAATCTTAGGGAGTATGAGCTGATTCTTGAGCATCTTAAAAGAATGTTGGCCTCCTATATTCATGAGCTTGCAACCATGGATCAGGAGATAGCTAAGGTTATGAACAAGAAGCCAACTGTGAAGCCGACATCTAAGCCTGGTGACGTGAACAGAATGAAATTGGGGCAAATAGATTCAAAACATCTTACAGTTATGTTCACTAAAGGTGATAGACACAAGTTTCTGTTTGCTTTGCTCGATAAGCATCTGTTTTCAACAGATTGCTTGGAGCATATCATAAATATCATACATCGATGCAAGCAGAACTAGGCAGCTGACAAGAACAATTTTACAGACATGCTTCGATGGTATATTACGTTTCGACTTCATATTTTGGCCATTATACCAAAGGTGTTTAAAACATTGAAGAAGCCTTCTGCTGTTAAGGAATGAAGTTTCTGCTCCAAGGAAGCAAAGGGGGAGATTGTTGAGTATATTTGTGTTGCATCTTAGGCTAAGTATTTTGCATCCGGATTGGGCCTGTCCATCCGTGTCTATCTAGATTAGTTACGTAGTTATCTAGATTAATTGTTAGGGTTATAGTATATATATATATATATATATATATATATATATATATATGCATGTGTGTATGTGTATATTAATAAGTTATTAATATATATGTATATATTAATATATATGCATGTGTGTATGTATATATATATATATATGCATGTGTGTATGTGTATATTAATAAGTTATTCATTACGTTGATTCTTGTAACCCTAAACGCCTCTACAGATTGAAGTTCTTTATCGATCTCTTCTTAGGTGTTATTGCATTAATCATTCGACATATTCAGCGCAGTACTTGTGTTCTTTATTATGTTCTTGTTTAATATCTTGCTTAGAATCATACGATCATAAAAGAACTTTGTTCTAACATAATTTAAAAATAATGATATAATATACTTGTATGATCACTAATGAATAGCGTTTAAACGATGAATATAACCTTCCATTTTATCTTCAACTGTTTGATCTTATCCGTTTGTGTAATGATAACAACTTGTCACCCATCAATCTTTTCAACACTGTCGATAGAACAGTACCAAGCTGCTTTAAATATTTCCTTTTTGACCTCATAGAAATTTATTTAGTGTAAACCGCAGCTGCATGCTCTAGTAATCCACTTGGAAGCGTCATTTCATGCTTTGTATTTTTTGTATCATGTTCTAGTTTCTGTTGAGCATTTCGTTGCTTTTCAATTGCGGTGTCATAGTTCATCATGAAATAGATAAGCAAATTACCAGACTTAGAGTATTTATTAAAAATGAGTTGACGCTTTCAGACCTTGAAGTAGTTTTCATCAGACCGTGTAGTGGCATGTCTTTAAAATAAGCTGGAATCCAAATCTTTCAATCCCTGTACATGTCTTTGAACCATCTTTTGTCCTGTAGTTTGAATTTTCTCATAAGCAGTTTCCACCATGATTCAAAGACTTCAGGCTCGATGTAAACATTCGAAACAAGCTTAGTAAAACGCTTTCGAAAATCAATGTTTTTCAAAAAATCGGCTAAAACCTAAAAAAAAAAAATTAGAATTTTATAAGATTAACTATGAATAAACAATATGTATGCTAATCATTTTTAAAAATATGTAAACTGTGTAAATCATTGTTGAATAAAACATGTTACGTGTTAACTTTAACCAAAATATACACACCTTGGCTTGTAGTTTTTTTATAATGTGCCACATACATAAACGATGATTAGAAGTAGGAAATATTGCTTCAACGGCCTGTAGAATTGATGAATCTTGGTCTGTTAACACTAATTGAGGGTGTTTTACATGTGCTTTCAAAAAAGCTTCGAGCAACCAACGATAAGATTCTATTGACTCGTTGCTTAACAAACATGCTCCAATGTTTATTGAACATTTGTGGTTATCAATGGCTGTAAACGGCACAAAAATCATTCCATACATGTATTAAAAAGGTAATTAAAAACAAATTCAACATTGATTATAAACTCAAAAAACATCAATATTCATATTTAAAGAAAAAAAAAGTATAATAACTATAAGAGCATACTTATTTGTTCGGAATTTAGCATCAAATGAGATCACATCTCCAAACTCCTTGTAATATAACTTATTAGTTTCATCCGCCCAAAACATTCCGTTTAACACACTATCAACACATTTATACTCAAACGTGTAGTTATGTAACTCATCTTTCCTCATGTTTATTTTGTCAACAACCAGCTGTGCATCCTTGTCACCTATAATGTTTCCCATCTTCCTTCTAAAATTTTTATAATCAATTACTTCAGGGCCAACGTTTTCATAACCTCCTTGCAAATTAGCTTATAACTTATGGGCCTTTGTTGCACCAATGTTAGATGTTGAAGAACGCACTATAAACTCATTATCTTTATAACTAAGTCTCGTGCACGTTTGGAATACCGTCTTTCTTCTTTAGTTTCTAGGGGGTGGTTGTGATTCTCTTCAAACTCATATATTTTACAAGCATTGGTTCGCATATGTAACCTTTCAAACTTTATCAATGCCTTGCAGTCCGTGATTCTAAAGTTTGAGTTTCGTTTATTCCTTCCACTTACCTCAGGATCCAAAGTGTTAGTTGATATGTTAGGTATTTTACCCATTTTGTTGCACACTAAATACCTTTTTTTAATGGTTTTGTCACCAAACCTCATTACTGTATTTAACCTGACACCAAAACCTGCTTTATTTGCATATAATTTATACATTTCGACCGCCTCCTCTAATGATTGATAAGTAGCATCTACATCTGGCATAAATTCTTTAGGAACAATAGGTTTCCACAACTCGGTTCTCCCACCGGGCGAGTCAACAACATTACTATTGAATGATTCCTCTTCAGAATCAGTTTGATTTGTACCTGTTTTTTTAAACAACAAAAAACAATAATGTGACATGAGACACATGATATAAATTTAGATCATTTATGTATACATAAACTAAACAATTTTATAATCATATTCAACGTCTGTGAAATAGTAATCAAAGTTGAAGTGTTTACTCATTTTAATCGTATTACCGCATAATCACCAATTCTTATCAAACTTAATAAACATTGTATTAAACTTAAGAAACAATGTACAAAGATTTGTGCTATACACCAGCATTAACTAATTAATACATACAACATATATGATTAATCGTATACAAATATGTACTAAATAAATGACAGGTCTTATTCATCATATACAAAAAATCAATAATGATTGTAATACACGATCTGTATTTAAAAGATGTTGATGTTCTCATTTTTTACCTTCACTCACATAATCAGATAATTGATTTCTTCCGCTGTATTGATCATCCGAATGATAGAAATCGTCTTCATCATATTGATTATTTTCGAATGCTTTGTCGCCATATTGATCATCATCTTCAGTATCATCGCTACTGTAATCAAAATAGTCCGACATCGATATTTTGGGTTAAAAAATTCCAACGTTGTTATCTTCAACCGTAAACGATGTTACAGATACAAATGTCGATTGACTGAATCACGAATTGTATACTAGAAATCGTATCTTCAATTCCATATCTCCTTGAACGATAACTATGGAATATCCCTTAATTATAGGTAAATATTAATGGATAATATATTGATTATTAATTGTATTATATTAATTAAAAACTTATATTGAATACAAATTTACTTAAATACCCTAATAAAATGATTGGCTGATAAGTGTTCTCGCGTTCTCAACATTTTAGGCATTCTCATTTGATCATACATATATGTATATATATATATATATATATATATATATATATATATATATATATATATATATGTATACATATATATATATATATATATATATATATATATATATATATATATATATATATATATAGACACACACACACGTTAACACCTGAGTTAATAAGATTTGTAGAAGACGGAGTTTGACCGGTAGATATATTGTACACATGTATGTTTTTTCTATTATCCATATATAAATTATTTAATTTTACCTTTCTATTAGTTTTAAAAGAGTCCATATTAATTTTTACAATATAAAATATAAAAAAATTAAAAGTTTACAGAAAACATGACATGCAATAACTTATTTTTAATATGTAATATGAAATAAATATGAAAAAGTTATAAAAATATAGATTTATGATACTGAATTAAAAATATCAAGCTTTTCAATATATATATATATATATATATATATATATATATAGAGAGAGAGAGAGAGAGGGAGAGAGAGAGAGAGAGAGAGACTAAGATTATCCCCATTAGCAATCTAATCCAACCCAAATTTTCTATAAAAAAAATTAATATATTTATCTTCCTCCTATACAACCTAATCCAATAAAATTAGTTACACTCAATAACAACCCAACCCAACCTATTTATGTTAAAATTTTATATTTATAAAACTATATCAATATTAGTCTTATTTTGAAGAGAAAAATAAATTAGTTATTTTGATATATTTTATTTTATATTAAAGATAAAGTTCACTTATAAACAAAAATTAGTTTTTGATATAAAAACTAATTGGTTTCTTCTAACCAAGTTGGACAGGTGGGCATAATTTCCAATACAATCTGAGGCGAGCTAAGCACGTGATCATGAGCTAGTTCACCAAGGTTTGTTTGACTCTTATTTTTTCTAATATATCTTTTTCAACGAATGGCTTGTAGGAAACCCCCAATGGGGGTAGTCTAATTGGTTGGTGAGAGAACCAGATCAATGCGCAGGGACAAGGTTTGAAAACTCAACCTTGAGTGAATGCTTGAGATCAATGTCTGCTTGCTAATAGAGGTTCTAGTCAAGACCGGAAACACCAGTCAAGTCTTAGATAATAAGTTCAACAAAAGATCAAGACAATAAATGAAGAATCAGAGTAAATGATTAAGGTAAAGTTAATACATGAAGACCAAGAAGAATATTTGAATATGATAGAGTCAATTCCAGAAGTGAGTGAAAGATCCGCATTTGACATGTATTGAATGCTCCCTTAAATAGGAGTAAGGATTATAACGACTTAAATCAAGTGATTATATAGGACCGGATAAAAGAAATAAGTCTGACATTCTGATTGTATAAATACAAATTCAGACTAAGTCCTATGAAAAGTTACATCAACACAAGTACTAAAATAATAAATGCAAAAAAGACAAAATAGCGTTCTTCCGGATCAGCATACATTCCGAATGTGAGGATAACTCCGAAATGTGTTCCTCTTCAAAATACTCCTCCTTTTCTTCAGTCCGAAGCACTTATCTCTTCAGAATTAACACACTTCAGAAAAAGGAGTTAGGATTGCTAGTGGTTCACTTTCAGGTTTCAACAATCTCCCCCTAAGTGAACTTAGAAATCCAACAACTTCAGTTCATTTCTTCCTTGATGAAGGTGTAGGTTTAGAACAATCATTCGCGGACTTCAATGTACCATGCCAGCTGACTTACAAACTTTGACTTCACATGTTCCGGAGTATCAGTCTTGGATGCACGCGAAATAAACTTCTTAAGAGCTTTGGTAGGAATCAGGTGTTTGTCCAGAACTCGGAAGCAATCCTTCTTGTTTGTTTTTCTTGTAGTGTAGACAAACCCTAGAACAGGCTCTTCAATAGGACCATCTACAAGGAGTTCAACTTCTGGAAGGATGAAATCGATCTTAGGAACAAATTGCTCATTTCCGTAAAGATAGGCAAGTTCATATTCTCTTCACCTGAATTCTGCAATGTAATCTTTCAGGAAGCTTAGTGCAGCATGATAGGCTCCCATACTGAGGTCATCCTTCTAATTTTCTCTGAAGTAGGCATCCAAGGTAAGAATGTCGTTTGGATTCATTAAAGGAAAATATGCATCAGTAATTGTGCGATGAGTGGGCTTCTTCTGGAGAATGTGATAACGAAACAATGGACAATGTAGTTCAAACTTCACCAAGATTTTTCATCTTCTTCGACCAAACTTCCTTGAAGGGCAGTGCGTTCTTAGAGTAGAAGCACTGTTGTAAAAATCCTGACTAGGTCCCGATTAATCCCTAGGCGCTACTCGACCGATTAAAGGCCGCCTAGTGATTCATCCCTCCATATATAATGAGTGAAACATTATCGAACGATTTAACATTTTGAAGAAGTTTTATCTCAATGGAAACTATTTGAGGCATGATTAGTGTTGTATTAATCATGTTAACCTATTTTGTTATCATATTAGTGGTATTTACGAACTTTGATATGATGTTAGTCATATTTTTAAAAAAATCAACAAATTAGCATTTAATGGTAACCGATTAATCCCCCGATTAATCTCCGCCTAACCGATTAATCCCTTGACCCCAATCCACCAACTACCTAACGTCGAGCGCTTTTTGCAACCTTGAGTAGAAGGTAGCAAGTCTTTCTCTTTCTGTTCGGATGATCACTTCTGGAGGATCTGTGGGATGAAGTGGAGCAAACTTGGTGTAATACTTGCTGTAGGGAGAGAGAGAGAGAGAGAGAGAGAGAGAGAGAGGAAGATCGAGTTGATCATGATCACCGATAGGATGTTATAGGACATAAATGGAATGATTTTGTGACTCTGAAGGATTCCTTCACGACAAAGAGGAGATATTCCACGCATTGGGTCAGCTTTATCTTTCAGAACCTGGATCTAGATGCTTTCTTCAAGAGCTTGATTTATTTCCTCCTGAGACCATCCATGTTTTTGTTTGAGAGGAGGTACAGAGTGCAGAGCTGGCTACTCGGCTGTTACTGGTTTCTTTCCTTTGTTCTTTTGAAGTGCAGAGATGACCAGCTTCATGTTCTCATCAATCGTGAATTCCGGAGTAGGATCTGGAAGAGGTTCTTCCGGAATATCATCAGGGGTTCAGAGAGGAGAGCCCTGGTCGATTGGAGCAATTTTTGGTTCCAGAATGGGAGTGGGAGACAGCACAGAAGGAGTAGCTCGGAAAGCTTGAGCTATAAGAACTGATTTTTCCTTAGCCATATCAAGAGCTTCTGGAAGAGAGGATGGCCAAGAGACTGCGGACCAGATCCTCTTTTGTTCTTCAATTAATTCCTTCGGAATGGTCAGCTTTGGAGCTTGAAGACCAAGAACTCCTTTGGAAGCTTCATCTGGAATATATATATTTCATCATCTTCGCTTCCTTCAGTGATTCCCAGGAATCTGGAGATGATTTGAACGTCTTCGTCTTCAGAATCTAGGTCCTCATCCTGGAGTGTGAATTCCAAAGCTGGTTTCCATCTTCTGCTTGGGCCTTCTCCCCCTCTTGCATTGGCAAATATTAAGGCCGGTGCAAGCGTCAAGTCTTCCTTGAGATCATCAAGTTTAGAGAAAACCTTCTGAAGAGCTGTGGAAAGTTGAAGAGTGGGAGTGTCATAGGCTTTGGCAGAAAGAGCTTGTTCGGAGAGATGCTTAAATGTGCTGCTGAGGATGGCAATCATCTCATCAAGCTTCCTTTTCGTAACATCAATAATGTTCCAAGTTGAGCACAGGAGTTTAATAAGGACTTGTTGAATAATGAGGTTCATTTCATCTTTCTCCCGGATCTCCTTCTCCACCCTTTGAATTTGTTTCTCATGATGAACGTGGGTCTGCTTGATTAGGTCGTTGGTAGCAGACACCAGATCATCATGGACTTTGAGCATTGAAGTAATGGTTTGGAGGTAATTATCCACCAATGCGTTGTATTTCAACTCAAAATTCTCCATTGTATGTTTGAGCCGGATAGAGACAAGCTGATCAAGATGGGATTCTCTTTCAGCAATTGATGGTCCGGACGGCTGAGAGAGTGTCTGTAGAATAGCATCAAGTTTGGAATCAAGTCCGGAGACCTTTTGATCTATCTTAGAATTCAGCTCCGTTATAGATGTTTCCACAGAGGATTCCAAATCAGATTCGGAGTGTTGCGAAGGAGACTTGTGAGAGAAAGGATGAGTTGAGGGACCAGGTTTGGTGGTAGCATCATCTTCTTGATGTTTACAGTTTGAGCCTCCATCCGGAGTGACAGAGGATGAGGATCCGAAGTCATATGCGGACTTAGAATCGGATGGCTTGGATGAGAAGTGAGCAGGAGCCTTGAAGGTATATTCTGGAATGACCCTTGCTTCATCGTCCAACATAACTTCTTCGGAGATTTCTTCTTCTGGATTGATTTTGAATGCACTTTGATGAGTGGTGATAGGAGGTTGTTTCGATGTAAGCTCAACATCTGCATCCGTGTCAGTGGGAGGAACATAGGGCATGTTACTCAGAATAGCCCTGTTCCTCATGGAAATCAGAGTGGATTCCACTTGAGCTCTAGTCAGGTCCGGACACCAAGATGCTGCCATGTTAACATAATCTTCCCAATCAGGATCATTAGTCCCTGCTTGTCCTTTACTCCTTCCGGGTATCAGACCAATTGAGGCATCAGAAGTTGGAGGGACTGCTCCTTCTTCCGGATGCTTGGGGTCTA